CTCCGTGCCCTCGGCGCTCATGCGATCGGCCCTGCTGTCAATCATTAACTGATGCAGCGGCGGTTGTGGGTAAACTTTGCTCCCTGCAGAAGGCGCAGCGCCGAGTCACACACAGCCTCCACCCATCCAGAGGTGGGACTGTTGCTTGGGTTCATGCTGGCCGTTACAATGTCCCTCTCCAGTTATTGTTCAGGGCAAAATAAACACATTCAACAGCTTCATCCCAAGTGGAGGACGGGTAACTGTTGTTGATGTGACCAGGAGGAGACATCACTGTGACCCTTTCAGCACCAACGTCCAAAGAACACCTTCCTTTGAATCAATGACTCCAGATTGGCCTTTTTGTAGCAGGAGTCTGGTATAAATACTCAGCGAGGTCAGAGGTCATATTCTCCAGTCTGTTCAATGCTCCAACGATGAGTTAAAAGCATCAGCAGCAACGTTTCTCCTCTTACTCCAGCTGTGGATGCTAACAAGGACTGAGGCACGAAATACATTCATTCATTTTGTAACTGCAATATAAAATATATTTTATTAAAATAAAAGACCAATGAAATCCAGCCTGTAAAATAGGTTTAAAGAAGAGATTCTAAAGACATCCTTCCTGTGGATCTTTCCAGAGCTCCAGAGCATCCAGCGTCAGGAGGAGCTCCAGCAGACGACCACAACATCAGCACACAGCAGGAAGCGGCTCGCTCACCTCCGACTTCGTGGCTCATGTCATTTCCATATTTCCAAAAAAACAGAGATGAGAATGGAGACCACGCAGCGACGCGTTGTCTAACTCAGCAGGCCCAAACTTCACTGTCCTACTCATTGCCGTCCAACGACCTGCCGGACGCCCTTCGGTCAGAACCGGTTTCACCACGTTTCAAAGAACAAATCAAACGTCCCTCCGCACGACAACCAGAAAGAAAGAATGTTCCCGATCCACCGGGGAACTTTCCATTCTCCTCCCAGAAGCAGCCGGCTTCTGTTACACACACACACACACACACACACACACACACACACACACACAGCGGAGGCTAACTTTAACACACTCACTTAACGAGGCTCCCTGTTGGGTGGACAACGAGTCCTGGACGTGGCCGGTTGGAGCATGTGGGCGGCCGAAGGTTTGTTGGAGGCGCGCTCCTTCTCGTTTGTAGGGAGTGGGACTGGGAGAATGTAAGAGACACCTCGTGGGTCGGGTTTCTGGGGGGGGGGGGGCTTCATCTCAGTCGCTCGCTTTCTTTCTATTTCTGCTCCCCGCGAGGCCGGAGGCGGATCGGTGCTCCTAGGACCTGGGGTTCAGCCCGGCATCAAACACGTGCTCTGAGGGCCCCTGTCCGGGTTTTCCCACGTTTGTGCCACAGCACCCGTGATTTGAGGTGTGTGGGGGGGGGGTTACCTGTTGGTCTGGCAGCTGTAAGCTAAACAGGTGTGATATTTCTCAGTGCGCTTTGGTTCACTGGTGAAAAGGCCTTAAAGCAGCAGACCTCCACACGTCAGATACCTCAATTGAACTAAAGGAATCTATGATTTGAATGTAGTAAAAGTTATTTGCATGAACCTTTATGAATGTAAAACTCAGTTTGACCTCATGCGACTTGGATTTACCGTCTACTTTTTATTTCTGGACGCAACTATTTTTTTTTAAATGCTGTGTTTTATCAAAATGTGTATAAAAAGCATCGCTAAGTACCCGGTGTTTTACTCCCGCTGCCCGGTGTTGTCGGCACATTTGGGATTAAACAGGGATTATCTTATAAAGACATTTGTGATGAAACGATCCCAAACACGGGGAGGAGAAGCGTGTGTGACCGAACACAATTCCTCCTGCAGACTCGCTCTGCCTCGTCGAGGGAACATCGCCGTGGAAACGCCCACTGAAGCTCCAGCCGTGCAGCTACCGCGACACGTGGATCCGATTATAAAAGACAGCATATCTACCACATCACCTGTTCACACCTCTCTATAGGAGAGCCGTGTTTGCAACTCCTCTGGTAACTGGGGGCCCCTGACGCCCCCCCCCCCATGAATGTTTATCACTTTGGAGAAATCTTCTCTCCTTGCCAGTGCTGGAGTAACCGCAGCCCTAAAATGACATAAGCCCTTTAGGTCCACAGGAAGCAAGCGCAGCAACTTCCCTTTTGATACTTGATACACCGCGATGACCAGCTTGTGCCCGAACGCCACCTGGCGTGATCTTTGCGTGAGCGTGTCGGCTGCGTCTCTCGAGTCGACTGTACCGCGAGGTTTAATCGACAAGCTTTCACTCAGAACTTCTGGATAATCTGTGAGCCGTCAGCCAACCTGGTGGAGGCGCTGAACACCTTGAAGCCGGACACACGGGGACCAGCGTGAGACCCCTTCGCTCACAGGTAAAGACTTTTACCCGGCGACCCCCTCCGGGAAGCTGCACCCTGCCGGTCCTCCTCTGAGCCGCACTGCCAACGACAGGATTTATGTAATCCACTGCGCTTTGCCGAGACCTGCTCCTCATTTCCTGCCTGAGGTCTGACCAGCGACGGTGACGGGGGGGGGCGAGGGGGGGGCGGGCATCTTAATGATGTGCTTTCCCAGTCGGCTAAGCGCCAAGCACAGCTGTCCAGATAAACACCCACTTCGACTGTTACTCTGTACATGTGTACAAACGCAGAGACACGGCGGAGATGTGGAGGGGGGACAGACAGAGACAGTGAAGCAGCCGTCTCCACGCGCGCAATAATGAATGAATAAGCGTCCCAAAGAGTGAAGGACGGGTTTGTTTTTGTCGAGTTGTGTTCGAAAACAGAGGAAAATAAGAATGAGTCAATCAAAAAGCAAATCCAAACAGAGAAAACAATCATTTGTGCAAAAACCACGTAGGTCATTTAAAGACGCATCTTTCTTATGAAATGAAAAGAAGAAAATCGTGCAGCTCAGCTGCACAGCAGGAGATCAGGGATTTCTACTTCAAACAGAACAGCTGACATGTCTGGGGAGTATTTAGAGAGAAGAATCAAACTGGAAAAACAACAACAAAGAATCTTCGCTGTAAAATAATAAATGTGCAGCACGGAGGGAACCGGGGGGGTGTACCTGAAGGCCACACGGTGATTTCATTTACCAATCTAACCCTAAGTCACGCTCTTCACAGAGAGTCCACTGTGGACCGTGATGAACAGGGGAGGAGGTCGATCCACTGGGTTCACATACGGGAGGGGCGTCTGCAGCGGGTGTCTTGTGACCCAAATTACTGAGACAGTGCTGCTCCCTGGATGGTTCCCATTTGTCAGGCCTGCTAATGCTCTTCAGGATCTGCAGACACCTAACGCTCACTTTGCAGATCGGACTCGAAAGAACCGCAGCGGCTAAAGCGGGAACGTCCCGATCAGGCAGCCAGGGTTCGCTTTGTCCCGTCACAGCTCCTGTAGAAACACGGCGGCTTGCCCCAGGGAGAAGGACCGGGTCTGTATGCGGATTTGGGAACGGACCTGGTCGACGCAGAGAGCCTCCATGATTCTCAGTCAGAAGACATGAGCTCCAGACTGCAGATGAATGTGGGCCTATTCTGGATAGCGGCTCCTTATAGACTGCACATGGGGAGGAACCGGCTCACTGAGGCCCCAATAAACAGCATAGTAAATAAACTACGACAAGAGCTGAAGGTGACTTCGGGGGAGACGCACAGCATCAGCGCTCATACAACTCGTGTCACATGAAAACACAAAATCTGTGTTGAAATCTGACATAAAAACAACGCCGACCGCAGCGCTTATTGAAACCAGTTCCTTTAATAAAAGCAGTCGCTGCTGTTTTAAGAAGATCTCCTGCTGTGCTTTAACTTCCGACGACATGCTCTCTAGGAAGCGTGATTCTGCTTTTCTTTCCGATGATGCTGGATTCTACCAAGCGGTGTGCTTTAACAGTGAGAGTTTGTCTGTGAAGGTGGAGGTCAGGTGTACTTGTAGCACGCAGATGTTTGCATAAGGACAGCGAGCGTAAGTGGAGCATGCACACACACACACACACACACACACTCCTTCCTTCCTGGTCTATAAGCCCCGCCCTGCGAGGGAAAAGGGCGGTGGTTCTCTTCTAAAACTCTTCACGAGGCCGACCGAGCTGTCTGGATCCGTGTGGCAGCATTCCTGCTGTCAACACCGGTCTGAAGCATTAAGGGGGGGGGTATTTCTTTTTGTGTGTTACTACACCCAAGTGCATACCAAGCATCGCCCGATTATGTACATATCAATGCACTCTGCTTATTAATACGCTGGCATTCCTTCACTAACAGGTCACTATAGAGTCACGTGGGAAGGTCGCCCACATCTGCAGCTCAAAATCATTACTAAAACATCACAAAGATATACTCCAGTAATTAAAAGGGGTTTAAATGAATGCACTCGTAGGTCAGCGGTCCTCTCGCTGAGGGCTGCTGCGCCACTAAGAAGTTCAAAAGGTCCGATCTATGACAAAGAATGAGCAGAGAGACGCCAGTCTTTAAAGAAACACAGAATGCGTCGGGCTAAATTTTATGGAAAATTATGCAAAAATAGGCAGAAAATTTGACATGCAAAAAAACCTTTGCTCTTTGCTGCTCACTTCAGTGAACAAACCCTTCAAGTCGTCGTGTCGTAACTACGGTTACAGGGTTAGCTCTGCTCACCTCCTTCAACAGTGGGTCGGTCAACTGTCACTGATCTGCTGCAGTGTCTGGCTTAGTTTGATTGATCGGCAGGAATAAATGCACGAGCCCGAGGGATGAACAGAACCACTGACGTCCATCCTCGCCGCTGCTTTCAGATCTTACTTGAACGCGGAGGAAGTTGCAGCAAATGAAGCAAGAAAAACAAACCCCCCTTCTTATCTGTGTGTGGACACACACACACACACACACACACACACACACACACACACACACACACACACACACACACACACACACACACACACACACACACACACACACACACACACACACACACACACACACACACACACACACACACACACACACACACACACTTTACCCTTGAGCAGGGGCAAGGGCGTGAGCTCTATGGGTTTGCCCTGAGCGCGGAACTGGGACGAGCTCTGCGACCGCTTCTGCTTGGCCTTCCTGACAGACTTCCGTGAAAATCCGTCCACTTTGTCCACTGATGGAGACGTGGTGGCTGCCGAGGACATAGCCCTGCTGGGAGAAAATAGGACATTTTATTTTCTTTCCGGCATTGCAATTTTCTGTCTTTGATAAAAGTTACCTTAATCAAATGTAGGTGACTGGACATTATTTTATAATCTTACATTATTCGTTGATGTGATTACACATTCTTAGTTTTCTGTGGCTACGCAGAATAAATAGGATTGTCGACCAAATCACCGGTCACACGTTACTTTATTCCCCAGTGGTCACAGAACGCACAACCTTTGGGGCGCACTCTCAAAGTCACACAGGCAGCCGTACAGTACGTACACACACACACACACACACACACACACACACACACACACACAAAGCCTTTAACGAGCGGCGAGGCAGCACGCCTCATCCATCATCGGTTCAGTACACTGCAGCATCCGAGGTGATGGATGGTGCGTCCGGTCGGTCGGAGGTGTCGATGCGACGGAGGAAGACGATGATCAGAGCGGTTTACATCCCGACGCTTCTCTTCACGTTGAGTTTAGCGTGGCCGTGAGATGACGGTGTAAACACCACCTGACATTACACTTAACCCACACGTGGTAGTCCCCTATTTAAGACGATGCAGGGCGCCTCCACTAGAAGACACAAGCTCGTGTTGTGGCGTCTTATAGTGCGCTCATTGAAATGGTAATAAAATAACAACAACTCCCTTCCTCCATCAGCGCAACAAAAACAATCGATTCCAACATGAGGAGCTTCAACATACCTCAATTCCTTATTCGGCTCCTCGTCAAAAGGTGAGCATATGCTTTTTTTTCTACTGTTATCGTAAATTAAATATCATGGCATCATGGGGTCTTTACTCGATTATCCAATATTGTCTTGGTAGATTTATGTGAGCCGATAAAGCCGGGAAACACCTCCAGCCTCCTCCTGGCTGCGGATTCCTCCATCCGAGAGGTCAAACGTGTACACATGTGACTGAGACATGAAGACATCTGCTTCACCCAACAAAGTGAGTCCGACAGCATCGGGAGACATAAACGGATGCAAATGAGAGCGGGCGGAGCGGGTGGAGCAGGCGGAGCTTTCCCTCCGAGATCCCCCCCTGTCCACAGCAGACACCTTTCACACAAACTGACCTTTGTTCATTTCATCTACTTCAGAGGGCCACAGCGATCAAATGTCATTTTTTAAGTTTGCAGGATGAACGGAAGCTTCTGTGATTCAAACTGAAGAGTTTCAGCTGAAACGAGTCAAACTACTCGTTGCAGCTTCTCCAATGAGGAGATTGATTTGCTGCTTTTCTTTTTTATATTCATCATTGTAAGGCCGAATATGTTTTGGGACATAAAATTATTTAAACATGTCATCTTTATACAACTTTCTCTTTTTTATAGCGTTTTTTTTTTCATTTAACTTACACGAAGCAGTTTGTTGAATTGAAATAAAATGATCAGCGGATCAACGGAGGATGTACAGCATCTTATCAAGCTGTGCAAGTTGTAGAGTGGCCACAAATAATCAGCTACGACAACTTTTAACTAAGCCAGCAGATCTAGAAATACCCCCCTCACATATTCACTGGCTCCTAATAGAACTTTAAGTCTCTGGAGGGCGACTTAATGCAGCCGGGCGGCTTCTTCCAGCTCCGACTCAAACGCTGCCGATGTTTCAGGACGTTTCAGGGAAGACGTACGTCTTGACCAGCGAGCGGCTGCTCTAAGCTTCATCGCTAAGGGCAACCAGGGATATTTGGTGATCTGTCAGTGATTTTCATTTCTCCCTTGGAGCTTGGCTTACACCTATGCAAAGGGGAAACCTCTCCCTCGCTCTCCCTCTGCCTCTCTCTCCCGGAGCCATTGCCCCTTACATAAGAGACCAGATGACATCCAAACAGGCTCAGGGAGGGTGGGATTAAAAGAGGAAGGAGAGGGGAGGGGGCACGGCAGACAACGGGGAGAGCAACAGAAAGGGAGGAAGGGGAGGGAGGGAGCTGCTGTTTGACAGGAAGTCAACAAATAAGCAGCGGCGAGGCAGAGCGAGAGGAGCTGAAGTGAGGGAACAAATATGAGACGGAAAACAAACCACACACACACACGGGAGAAATTTAAAAAAAGAAAAAGGAGATTGTGGGATCTCGCCTGTGGTCCAGAGTCAAAACTCTGAATGCTGCAACACTTGATGGAGACTCAACTAGTGAGAGTATCGTATTTATCAGTTACTGCTCACAGATGACGGGCGAGAGTCTTTGGTGAGGTCTTCAAACTTCACATTTTGTCCCTCTCGCAGTTCAAAACCCCAACACATTCTGCCTGTTACCACGACGACTAGAACAAAACGTCAATCAATCACCTGTCTTCCGGTTTCAGTTACAGATTAATATTCAAAATCAATAATCACAAAGAGAAGCTACAAAGCAGCCGCTTTAATGACAAAAGGAGCAAACATCCTGATGTAATAAGTTAAAGACAAAAACTCAGACTCCGGCTGTCCGAACCAAGAAAGTTTCAAGCCGATCGTGGCAACAAATGATCTACTCACAGCAAAGAGGAAAGGTTATTTTACATTACATACAACATTACATCAGTTTCCTAGAGCGACCGACACATTGAGGAGTGGTCCCAGCGCCAACTACAGCAGAACAAATCCTAAATGTAATGTTTCCAACCCTTCCATTACTCACTTCTTCAGAAAGTTTCCCGTTGCCATCATTATCGACCGAATGCTGCAATCTGACAGCACTTCTACATCGGTATGATTCATTCATGAGATAATTACACTGCTCACAGTCGAGAACAAATGAACTCAGCAACTTTCAAACACACACACACACACACACACACACCTGATAACGTGAGGGAGTAACTGCCCCAGCAGCATCATAAACACAGCAGACTTTGGATGTTACGGCTGGAACGGCCCTCGCCATGGCGAGACATTCAGAAACCTTGTAGAGGAACCAGCATGACAGTCCCAAAACTAGGAGCACACCTACACAAACACACACCTAACTACACACACTGGCACTGCAAAGCCACACCTGGACTCCGGCATGCTGCTGCCACTCACATGAAAAAGGAGTCGTCAGTGTTGGACAGTTTATCGACTAAAGTACCACATTTAAGTTTATGGTACTTGTATTTTACTTGACTACTTCCCTTTCCTGCTCCTTTATACGTCAGAGTTAAATTTTGTACTTTTTACTTCGAGACTTTTTGGTCCTTGGACTACTTTGCAGAATATAATAAGTAGATCCAATATGATGGATAATTCTTTGTTGGATTAAAATTGAACATGAATAATTATAATGTAATGATACATTATTCTGTAACAGACATTCTGAATGAGAGGTTTTAGTAGATCTTGATGTGAATACTTTTATACTAAAGGGACATTTTTAATTCAGAAATGTGACTTTTTATGTAGTATTTTGTTTTTTGTACTTTAACTCTGAGTATTTTAATATTTCTGTCTCACTCTCCATCACCAAGTCTCATCATCATCACCAGGGGTGAAGACCTCTCTGGCTGGTTTAACATCCACAACACCAGCGGTTTGTTGGTAAACTAGTTGTTGGTTATCAGGAAACATGACATACCAGGGGGCATATTTACAGTTTGTCACACATGTATCTTGGAGCAAAGCCAGCCAGAAGTTCACATCGGATTATCACAGCACATTTGACTTTTGACCTTTGACAGGAAAGCTGAACCTGTCTCAGGGCAGATTCACGGGGCTTCCTGCACAGGATTCCAAACATCAACATGTGTTAGTTTAAAGCAAAGCACAGATCTGCCACTGACGTTAAACCAAACGGCACAATCAAGATTAAATCCACCCAAAGTCATCTGATGTTAATTATTTACTGGCACGTCAGTAAAGGGGCCGTTTTAGGAGGGCTGGCGTTGGCTTGGCCATGTTGGGGCCTCGCAGCAGCATAATATTCAAAACTTGACAGCGCGATAACCTCACCAACTACAGCTCGCGAGCGCGCTAGCTAGCCAGTTAGCTAGCTACGCGATTAACCGTTAGAAAGCGTCTGATTTCAACGCTTTGACCGTTAGCTAGTTGTCTCTTCGGAGTACACACGGCACTTTAAGATAACTAACACTTTGACACCAACGACCTCTTATCCAAGCTGACTTAGTTTATTTCAGAAAACGGCGTTTTAGATCAATGCTACTGCTATCGCGGGTTAGCTCAAGTTGAACATGTTGCTAGCCGTAGCTTGTTAGCCACCGTCAGCAAGCTAGCTTCCAGTGCAAGATATGAAAACATTGATTAGAGCAAAGCTACAAATTCACATGCGTGCTGATGAAATAACGTTACCTGGGCGGACTTGGGCGATCACCCATCATCCCAGGTGTAAATACAGGAGGGGGGCAGGGGGGCGCTGCTAATGCTAACGCTAACTGACAGACCGACTTGGCTTCGGGGGAAACACACACACCGTCCTGAGTCCTGACGAGCTGCAGCCCGACCCGAGCGGCTGTTAGCTCTCCAATCGAAGTACTTTACCTTGATCCTCTGTGGTTCGCAACGGAGACGGCGGCGGAGGAGTTATCCTATGTTTTTTGGGAGGGGGGGGGGGTCTATCGGGGCGAACCGTTACGGCTAACCCTCCAGCTCGGTGCAAAACAGCAGGAAAATCTGGCCTGAAACAGCCGAACCCACGAGTAGCTTTTTCTTCTTTCCAACGGAATAATCCTCAAACTCCCATTAATAACAAAGCACGGCTGTATAAAACGATTACGGTAACGCAATTACATTCCTGTTACTGATTCAAATTGCCCTAAACCCCCAGGATTATTTTTTTTTATCTTTTATGGTTTTTTTCCTTAGCTCGTTTATGATTCTGGGCTGATTCTTTTTCACCCTATTGTCAACACTGCTGGGTTGAGACCATGGCACACATAACAGAAAAAAAACGCACAGAAACGTGCTTGACGCGTTAAAACTCGACGCGCGACGGCGATTGGCCAGCAGCGAGCAGCCCTGCGCGCTCCGATTGGCCGGGGCGCGCCGTCGATCAACAGCTTTGAATCCGTCCGGTTAGGTGGAGAAGCGAGCCGGGGAAGATATCGGGGCTGAAAAAAAGCGAGGTGTGCGTTGTGTGTGTGTTTCTCCGCCGCACGGCGGGCAGGAATGAGGCAGAGCCAGTCCGAGGCCCGGCCCTTCGCTCGTGCGCCTTACCCCACCTTTCATTGCACATGTTACGGTGTTTACAGCGCGGTGCGAAGGAGGCGTGGATCTCTATGCGGGGCCCGTGGGAGCGCGAGAGATACGGCCGCGTTAGCGGGAAGGGGGGTTACGTAACCGCACAGACGCACCGTGAGCGTGGCCGCTGATCGAGCGCGCAGGGACGTGCAGGGGTCAGCTGCGAAACTTCATGAACAATTCAGGCAGGCAACAGGATCTTGTTGTTCGTGAATGAAAATAAAGTTTTATGTTCCAATTGTGAAGCCTTTCTAGTAAAAGTAGAAATACAGCCTACTGTAATCGACCATTTTTGATTTTGATGATCTAAATCGTTGTGATGTAAGTAAACCTTCCTGTCTATATAATACTCATGAACATTAGAAAATCAAGCTACTTTGCTTAAAAGAAACACATTATTATGTCCTCTAGTATGAGTCTGATATCACATTGAACCTCATGTAAACGTGATCTCTTCTGTTCGTGTTCAAATTTCATTGTTGTCAAACTTTTTATTTACAAATACAATTGTGGAGAATCTATCTCCCTACATCTATCTGATATTTTATTGTAGGATTTTTGTCTGCAGTCTCACGCAGAAGCACACACGCACACACTGGCGTTCACGCTTTGGTGTTTGGGAGCGGAAGCTGCTCCCTGATTGGCTGCGTGTGATGCAGAGAACACTGAGGAAATATGACTAATAGATATAGCTTGAGCAAGAAAATGTAAATCTTACTTTAAATATGAAATTGTGAGACAAAAAACAGATGCGTCCTCATTTCATATTAAGATTAAGATATTGATGATTTAAATATACTCTACAACACAGTGGCGAACATTTTTAAAACATCGTTTTCACTTTCACTATTCTATATTTAAGTAAAGTTCAAGTCTTTAAATCTCTGGATGTACCTATTGTATCAGGAACAAGTGAGTAACCGGACACATCTGGATACAAAATGAAGACGGTTCTTTAATGTAACACCAAAGTGTGACTGGATCACATGTCATGGTCATCATCATATTTATTAAAAGAAAGTCACGTTTAGTTTCTGATGCAGATGTTAATCAGAGAAACGAATGACTGAAAAATTAACTCAATAGATAACTATCGATTAAAAAAAGTAAATGTGAGTTTATGTCTTAATTTAGTAAATTATGGTCCATTTAGAGTCAAACAGACGATGGAGCAGGGGATGCTTTAGGGCGGGGCTACACGTTGATTGACAGGTTTCTCTTCGTCCTATTCACTCCACATATGGTCGCTTCAATATATTTGCTGCAAAGAAATAAATGGCAACGAACTCGCCATGTTGAACTCGCGGCTTCATAGCGGCAGTCCAGTAGATGGCGTTACCATGACTACCACCACTTAAATACAGTCTGTGGCAGCGGTAGAATATTCAGAGGAGTGAAATGTGACGTGAACAAACTTTTAGTTACCGTAGAAACATAAGATCTGTAAATGTTTAAAACAGAGAAGAAGAGTGAGTGCTTCCTCCCAGAGACAGGAAGTCAGAGTCATTCCATCTTCCCGGTCTACTTATTTCCCCTGTGGTAGCTGTAGTTATTATGCGCTCTGGATTTAAACCTCGAAGCGCTCTCGCTCTTCCTGGACTGCCGTTTTCCCGCCATGAGCTCGGCCTCCTGTTGTTTCCACAGCAGCAGCAGAGCGTCCTCCCCCCCCGTGACGAGGGCCTCCTTCGCCGCGTCCCACAGGAAGCAGCGCACGATGGAGGCGTGGCCGCGCTCCAGGGTCTTCAGCAGATGAAGCCCGCCGCCGCTGCACTCCATCAGGTGGACGTCGCGTCGTTCGCCCCCCCGACCACCAGCAGCTTCTGGGCCTCCTCCAGCCACTGGGCCCCCACGAGGTAATCCACGGCCCCGCCCCCGGCCAGCTGCGGCAGGTCGCGGCCGTCGGCGGCGCCGAACACGTTGAGGGGCTCCTCCGTGTCCAGCCGGCCCAGGTCCCACAGGTGCAGCCTCTCGTTGGCGCTGAGGCACAGTAGCTGGGTGTAGGCGGCCCCCGCCCAGCAGATCGAACCGGCGGACGAGTCGCTGTTGCAGGTGGCGAGCAGCGCGTCCTCCTCCGTCCCCCGGCTCAGGTCGAACACGTTCACCAGGCCGTCCAAGGAGCCGGACGCCAGGCGGTCCTTCTCCCGCGGGTGGAAGCGCACCTGAGTGATGTCATCACTGTGGGACTCGGAGTACGCCCCGAGGAGCCCGCCGCCGGGTTTCCTGACGTCCCAGAAGACCAGGTAGCTGTCCTCCCTGTCCACCTGCTCGGTGCCGGCGCAGAGCAGCGTGTCGCTGCAGCTCAGGTCGAAGCCGCTGTAGGCGTGCGCCGGGTCGCCTTTGAACACCTGGGCCGCCGCCGTCCCGGGGCGGCGGACGTCCCACCCCCGGACCGTCCCGTCGGCGGAGGCCGAGTAGAGGAAGTCAGGGGAGGCGTGGGAGAACACGACCCCACAAAGCGGGCCGCGGTGGCCCTGGTACTCGCCCACCAGGTCCAGAGTGTCCCTGCTGTGGAGGCGGACGGTGAAGTCGGAGCAGGACACGGCCAGCAGGCCGGCCGGCTGCAGGGCCACGTCCAGCAGGTAGGTGGGGCTCGTCAGGCGGCACCACCGGGCGATGGACAGACCCTTGAGCTTCACCTCCAAGCCCCCCATGGCGGCTCGGGAAAGGGTCGACCGGCGCTGGACAGCAAGAAGGAAACGTGTCAGGAGAAGATTTGGCCCATTGAATCTCTCTGGAATCCCACGCTGGCTTTAGTTAGTAGTTAAATAACGCCTCGGGGCGTGTTAGAAACTGCTTTAGAATTTGGTATTAGTACAAAAAAGAAATAGCTTTCATATAGATGCGCTTGTTATCTGTTACATTAAGGTGTCCTTTGCTGCCGAATGAGGACCAGCAGCATCCTCCTTTGTGGAGCGTCCAATGTGCTTTTAATGTACGCGTTAAAACAACAGTAACAATAAGATACAACTCAACGTTACTGCTTTTTAAAGGAAGTCTGCTTTCTTCTCCTGTGAGAGATTCGGGCAGAAATGAGTCGCGTTTCTCGCCGTTTGTACGTGTGTTATTAATGTGTTATGTGCCTTTTATTGATGTCACGTGTTGTTCATTTCGACCTACCTCGTTCCAGAAAGTTCCACCGCCGTTAACGCGTCACAACACGTTCACGTTGTTATGAACTGTTACTTTAATACATGAACTATAATAACTTCAACTTCGACAACATAGAAACGAGCAACAAGACCCGAAAGTGGCATCACGCTACTGAAATCAAGCATGGAGGAAATACTCTGTGTCACAATATTTACCACCGGGCCGGAACATTCCCTCCATCAAAGGTTCCGCTCACGTGCGCGCAACATAAATTTTGTTTTAGTAACAGTAAAAACACCTTTATAAAATAATAAACCGAACGGTCAGAAAATGTAGTTACTTTTCTTCCCAAATATTGTTATAATAATAATAATAATGATTATTATTATTTAATATAATTTTCATTACAATTACATTTACAATATATATTGTATATATACAATAAAGGTATTTTATATATTGTTAAAATTAATTTCAAATTGCATTTAAATAATCACTTTCATTTTATTATTATTTATTTATTCAAGCACATATCAAATGTGGGTCATACATCTAAAAGTCCAAACCAACTGAGAAACAATGAAATTGTTTTTTCATAACAACATTTCATATTTATTAAAAATAAAGTAAGTAAATACTCTTGAATTATATTTTTTGAGAACTTTCTTTTCTTATATCCTAAGGGATTTATTTAAAACCTTAAAAGAGTAGAAGCATTGCAACGTAATTGTAGCTGTTATATTGTTTTTAGTTTAGTTATTTGTGGAACAGCATTTGTAAAATATGACCCTCAAAAACTCCCGTGAATCATAAGAATCCACCAAGAAATCCAAACTTCTTTTTATTGGATAAATCAGTGTTTTAACATCAGTCCTCCAGCAGATGGCAGCAGCTGCTTGTTTGCAGCTTTCTGGGTAAAATGAGGCTTTTTAATCAGAAGTAACGGAGAAAGAAATCATTAATGATCAAATGAATATCTGCAGAACTGATGACATCATCAGTGGTGTTTATGAGTGAACTGCATGTATATTTAGTGACGCTGTGTCAGCTCTGTACTCATGGAGTTAAACTGAAGCAGGTACTTTATTCCATTTGATTTTATTTAAGTGAATTTCACACATACAATCAAACACTTAGAGATTAAATCCAACGATAGAATCCGTGTCTACATATAACATGAAATGCATAAACGGTCCTTTGATGTTTAAATATGATTCTAAAAATGATTTTGTGTATTTGGACAGAAACTTCAAGTCACTTTTCTCATTCAAACAGTCAGTGAATGTTAATATGAAATAAACGCTTGAAATCAAATTAGTTTGACTTCATTTTAACGCTGAAACAAAAGATACTTTTTCATTTGAACAATGGCAGAAATGTGAAAAACTAAAACACGTTGGGAAAGCGTGAAACAAAAAATATACCTGAACAACAACAATAATAATTATAATAAAGGCACTAAAGGGAAGAGAAGAGCAGCGACAGTTTAACCACTATTAAGTTTTTGTATAAAACGGTATCAGTGCCATCAGGGCTTTCAGAGAGTAATAAGAGTCGCGTTCATGAATAAACCCACCAATCCAGGTGCTACGAAAGCTTTGGGGTTCGTTATGATTCATGTTTGGGGATAAAATCATAAATGTGGTGATTGTAAGGACTTAAAACATACAAGTCCAGATCAAACCAGATCAGAAATCATCTGCATTCTGGGAGCATTGCATTTGTATCAGGACCGTCCCGTACAAACAACAGCAAGTCAATTAAGACTCAAGAGGAAGATATTTTCCTTTCTTTGAGGTCAAAGGTCACCAGAGAAGGTCAGCTGACGTCTGACAAAATACCCTCGAGCAAGGCACTTCAGTCACAGCTGCTGCAGGTGAGAAACCTGAGGAGGAACGAACGTGTGTGTGTGTGTGTGTGTGTCCTTTATCTGGCATCTTGTTTCTGTTACTTTGGACACACAAACAGGAACTTTAGCTGGTGTTGAATAGTCAAAAACACTTTTTATATGAAGTTTAATTTGTTTATCCTTTTGCTTCGATCAGAGAAACAAACTTAAGTTGTATAAAACGTAATGAGGATTAAAGTCTCGACTTCCTGTTTACTACGACTCAAAGAAGCTGAATTATCCGACTGGACTTTTTCAGCACAAATTTGTAATATGTGAAATCATAATAAATAAAGTCTAAGAACATTATTTTATTTTCATTCTGCATTTAATGACCTTTTCCAGAAAACATTACAACTATATTGTGTAAAATATTAAACTTTATTTGCCTGAGCGGTTTTCTGCCTTCATCTCTTCTTTTCTCTCCTCCCTCCTAACCGCCTCTTTTCTCTCCTCCCTCCTAACCGCCTCTTTTCTCTCCTCCCTCCTAACCTCCATCTCTCCTCCACACAGGAAGTGGATGCCATGTAGAGCCACTCTAACAGGAAGTCGGTGTACAGTGTTATAAAAAGAGAACATCATGTAAAACAATCGATCCCAGAGCAGCTCCTGAAACAGGAGACAAAGTGTCCCAACGCCTCCACATAGTCCAAAAACGCTGAAACCACTTGTGTGTCAACGGTCACCGTCGGGATAACCGCCGACACTGGAATGAGGAAGTATAAAACGGTATTGCTGTCGAGAGTCAGAATCCCCCGCGGGGAACCCGATCCGCGGCAGCGCCGAGCGAGCGTCCAATCAGGAGAGCCGCGTGTAGCTGAAGAGCAGCGGGACCAGGAAGAGCACGTTGAAGCCCACCGCCCCGTAGACGATGTAGCGGTAGGGAAGCTCCACCTCCATGCGCTGCCGGGCCTTCCTCACGTCGCCGCTGGGCACGCCGAACACGCGGCACACCGCCGGGATGGTGACGGCCTTCATCAGCGCCCGCGTGGCCATCAGCACCAGCACGCCTAGGGCCAGCCGCAGCAGCGCCGCCCCCGCCAGCCCGGCGCCGAGGGCGGGCGCGGCGAAGGGCAGCTGGTCCGGCGTGGGGTCGGGCATCAGGCCCAGGCGGTGGTTGACGTGCGAGGCCAGCGCCACGCCGGCGCCCGTGCCCAGGATCTGCGCGGTGTCGCCCCGCGAGGTGCTCCAGGTGTCCAGGGTGAAGGAGAAGAGGCCCAGGCCCAGGTGGAGGCAGACGATGATGAGCGGGGCGTAGCGGCACGACAGGTTGAAGCCGTCGATCAGGTCCAACGCCGGCAGGAAGAAGAGCAGGATGAGGACGCTGTAGAGGACGCCGGCGATGACGTCCTGGAGGAAGACACAGGAAGAGGAACCGTCCTTTAAAGAGGTTGTGACCTACAGACAAGAATGAGAATGTCCCAGACAAATCTTTACGGGACAAAGGGGATTTGCGTTTTGCAGCTATGGATCGCCGTGTTTCCTGCCGAGGCGTGAAGAGGAAGTTGAGGACAGCTTCAGCGGCGTGCGGAAGACCTCCGAGGAAGCCGAGTGAGACACAACCTCTAAGTTGTGTATGTTTTACATATTGGAAAGATGCAAATTCATTCACACACTCATTTAGAAGCCATGAAGTTTTACGTCCACGTCAAACGCGACTCTGACGCTCACCGCCGACGTAACCTTAATCCTCCTCTTTGAAAGTCAGAGGACTTTTCTTCCTCTCAGTACGAAGCTCTACTTGTGGTGTCGGTTTGCTGCTGTAAAGGCAGTTTAGTCAAATTATTTTTTAGTAAATAATCCCTCCACCACTGCTAGCTTACAACACAAATCGCCCGTTATTTCATTCGGTACGTTGATGACGTACTGTGATTTGATTGGTGTGAAGCCAACGACTTCCCTTGACGCCGTCCTGACCAATCACGGGGCAGCAGTGTCGTCACAGCCTCACCTGATTGGTTAATCGTTCTTTTTTTAGTTCATCAAGGGAGCCCAACTCCGCTTCCTCACGGACTCTTTAATTGCAACGTGTCTGAGACACAGAGCTCATTCACCACGTGACACCTAGAGGGCGCCGCTGCACACATCACTAATCATTAATGAGGAGTTATATTCTGAGAAGTGAGGAAGCCTGGCTTCCCTCGGCCTCCGGTCAGCTTCAAACTCAATATGAAACAAACACTGACGCGTATTTCTCAACAGATCCCCTGAAAGGGAGCCGCCCTTCACCTCGCAGATCGTCCTGCAGCACAAAGCAGGTGGGGATGATTTCCGGGGCACACTGGAGTGGCCCCGGCGGGGGCGGAGCTAACAGGCCGACGCCCGGCGAGGAGCCTCGTCTCACGTTACCTCGGTAACAAGCGGTCCCGAGGAAACACGAAGCTGCCGTCTGAACCCTTTAGTGTGAACGGAGGGTCAGATGGACAATGATCCCAGGAGCATCGTGAACAAACGTCCATGAGACATTGCAGAAGAAAAGGTAGCGCATGAACTAATTCACCGAGCCCTTAATGGGATTCTGATGAGCTTAAGTCTTTCTCACGTTGGTTCTATTCGATATCAACAGATTCTGGACTGTTTTCCTTTTCCATGACAACCCCTATATTGAGATCCTGAGTGACAGCGACGAGCTGCAGGATGACTCGGGTCTGTCTCTTGTCTCATCGGGACGTCTGGTCCACCACATGGTCACAGATCAGGGCAGAGCACGGAGGCTCCTGAGGTGGGGGCCTCAGCCCCGAGGGGGCCCCGGATGTCGAGTCAAAGAGCCGCGTGCCGTCCGTCCGTCCCTCCTGCACAGCTGTGACCACAGAGGTCGGTGACCTCATCCTGCCGCCGGCAAAAACAAGATGCAGGAGCAAGTTTTTGCAGGCATTAATATTCCTCTAAGCTTTTTATGAAGAGTTGAGAAATGCTGCCGTTAAATCAAGTAAGACGCTGACGTCTGCAGAGGGAAGAGACGCCAACAGGCCTCAGCACGTTGCGGTTTCCCATTGAAACACCCCGTTTCACTATTCACAGAGGACTTCTGGACCCGTGTCAGCCACACAAAAGGAGAACGCGGGTTTCTTGTTACTGAGTATTTTCTTGAGACAACGGAGACCACGAGGATCCGTTTTAACCCGACAGCGTGACACCGTGTTCAGCCTCCCAATGTGAGCTTTCAAGACGGAATCAGAAACGCTGAAGAACTCCAACGAAATGCTAAAAACTGGAAACGGGGAAACAGCTGATTTAATCCTTTCCGCTTTAAGAACTACGGCACCAAATCCTCCGATAGGAACCCCGATGGTGAGAGACACCGGACCCCGTCAGTAACCTTCGTTTGTAAAGGAGGGAAAAAAACTATTGTTGGCTTAAGTTTGGATTCCTCCGCCTGCGGGGGGTCGGGGGGGGGTTTGGGCTTGTTACACCACACCAACGCAAACACAGCAGAGTGACGGCTGAGGGCGTTTCACAGCTTCACTTCCTCTTCGGTTTGTTTTCACATCCGTCTGCTGAAATCTGGGGAAGCACTTTACATGTGACATGGCGGCGCTGCACAGGTTCTCACCTTCACCTCGTTTGGTACCGATCGCCCCAAAGATCACACTGTAGCATTTAGCAAAATAAGAATATCAATGAAAACGAGATCACAATACAAGTAAAAATATCTAATTTGATGTGATTTCTTTGCTCAGGCGTAGCGACAAACCTTTGTCAAATTATTTGCCAACGCCGTCCCATTTTGTATGTTTTTTTTATACTGGTGTTTTGAACTGTTTCATGTGTTTCCACGGTTACACAAGTGACATCACAGCCTCCGGAGACAAAGTGACAGCAAGGATTATTTTTGTATCACGTTGGCTATCGTGGCAACACAGACACATCGTGTGCGCGACTGGGTGAAGGGTAGACCTACCAGGACTGAGTTGTGTGTGTGTGTGTGTTTCTGGGTAGACCTCCCCAGGACCTGTGTGTGTGTGTGTGTGTGTGTGTGTAGACCTACCCAGGACTGTGTGTGTGTGTGCGTGTGTGTGTAGACCTACCCAAGACTGTGTGTGTGCGTGTGTGTGTAGACCCTACCAGGACTGTGTGTGTGTGTGTGTGTGTAGACCTACCAGCACCGAGTGCATCCCCATGTAGATCCGGGCTGACGCAGACCAGCAGACACCAGCAGAGAGCCAGGCTGAAGCCCAGAGGGAACGGGTACTGGGGGGACAGGAGAAGAGTCACAACACTAAACCCACGAGGCAAATGAAAACCGCCTTTGATGAATATTCTTACTGATGAAATGAGAAATCCATAACATGTGACTTGGAGGTGTAAGCAATGCTTTAAAATGAATATATAAAATATTATTTGCAGATGTTAAGAGTTTTGCTAAATGCTTTAAACACGTTGAAGCGGTCTTCATGCTTCACGTTATCTCTGCATCAGAACCAATGCTGAACATGCTGCATGTTTATTGCTTTCACCCGGTGATACGAGGACCACAAAAAGATTGTGCGCGCTGGAATCTCGATGAACGTTGGAGCACTGCAGTCACATGACCTCAGAGGGGAACACGTTCCCGGCTCACCTTTGTTTCCTTGTAGAGCTCGTAATGCTTCACAGGGCTGAACAAAGGCAATAAAGTAGCCCATGAATATGAGATTAGTCTCTGGGCACTACACTTTATTTAGCTCGTTGTGGTAAATCTCACAGCCTCTCTTGGTTTATCGATTCATCGTTTTGTCAAAGAAGTGAGGAGAAGTGAGGGGGGGGGGCTGGTTAGACAGAGATTACCGCTTCAAACATCAGCTGCTCATGAACACATCAGTGCAGTGGAACACGGACAGGAACATAAAAGGAAATTCAGTTTCGTTTTACCACAAACTGTTGAAGCAATAATGGCGTCACCTTCAGCCCTTTTTAACAGGGATTCATCTTCTCACGAACATGCACTTTAGGGGACGCACGCCTCTACGTCCCCTCGGTGAGCGACGGCTTTCTACTTAAGTGAACCCGCGTCGTCCTTCCCTGTGACCGTGACAGCTTTACGACCGCTCTGAACCGGGCGTTCCCGGGGGAGAGGAAGTGTCACACAAAGGCCGCCGGCCCTCTTGTTTCTGTTCTGGCTCCACTAGCCGGACGCGTGACGCGGTGAGCTGGAAGCACGTAGCGACGCCTCAGTCCCTCAGGTCAGAGTGTCCTCTCATGTCTCCGTCTCATCTCGTCCTCCCCTGCCCCCCCCCCTCCCATCATCCGGTTGCCGTCTTGTTCTCATCTCCTCCCTCCTTTTGGCTCGTCTCTCCTACTTTCCTCTCCGTCCTTATTACCAGTATCTTCCACAGAGAGACATGTGGCTGTGGTTAATGTCGGAGCTGCAGGAGGACTCGGTCCAAACATTCCTGCTTCTGCTGAGACAAGCCAGCTGAAAAACTACAGCAAGCCGAGGGGGACATGTGGGACAGCCTGCAATCTCAATCCAATTAGAAATGCTGGTAATGTAGTGCTAGTTGTGTCACTTTAAGGCTGTACTCTGCCTAAGAGCTTCTCCCCCTTCAGCAGATGTGTTCAATTGACTTTCTCCACAAAGAAAAGCACAAAGGCGCCACTTTAAATCATGTGTGTACCAAATTCAAAGTTCAATGGCTTCTTAGAAATGAAAACAGCTCAGAGACTCAACCGAAGAAGAAGAGCAAGACCAGAGCGACGGATTATTCAGGAAATGTTACAGGCCGACGTGAGATGGACCATAAATCTCATTCTATCTAATCAATGAGCTGTAGTTGCTCTCCCACGTGCCTCCACTAGCAGAGCAACGATGGCTTTGAGTTGGAGGCCACGCCGGGAAACATTTTGTTTAAAAGTTGTGAGAAAAGCCCAGAGGACGGGCAGTTTGTCGAGTTCATCTCAAGTATTTTTTTAAACTTAAGATTCACTTTAAACACGTAAAGTGAAGGCTTTCTTTTTACACAATTCACTCAATTGATCCAACGAGTGTTTTAAGGATGCGTGTGAGCCCTGAACCATCAAGGAGGAGACAGTTATGTGGACAGAGGTCACGACGAGTAGAAAATCCCTGAATCAGTGTTAATGAATCTCTGAGCCCCACTCGCCCACGCAGAGCATCCATTTGGAGACCTTTTTTTCTTAACAAGAGTGCTGATGAGTGAAGTCTCGTAAAGAGAATGTCAGAATTTGTTTCTGTACGTTGTTGGGACAAAACGAGGCAATGTTGGGGCGCGTTAGCTGTACCATCCGTGTTGCCCTCACAGCGAGCTGCGTTTCACTGAAACACAACGGAGCTCCTGTCACCGAATCCGCAAATCAATGGTTAAGGGGGCAAGTCGCACTGATCCCGTATCAGGAGTCGCCCTTTGGCAGATGCTCTTATCTGGTGTCGTTGTGGCGTCCTGTTGAATCGCTGCCACGCGTTTAGACGCTGCCGAGTTTAAAGAGACGGACGGTTATTTATTAATTATGGGATCACTGCAACTAAAATCCATATGAAAAGAGGAGCCTGCGGTGTTTACATGACTTAGTTTGCATTTTGTTTATATTGAGTCGTTGAGTCATCTCCAATAACTTGCAACTAGGGAGGAGTTGAGTAATGTTTATGAACTTTTGGAGACTGCATGCCACTTTACCAAAACGTGTATTTATGCATGCATGCATACATACATACATGCATACATGCATGTATGTATGCATGTATGACCGCCGCGGTATGCATGTATGTAGAACTAGGACCGTACCTCCCAGCGGCCGTAGGTCATGAAGAACAGCGAGAAGGGGATGGCCGTGCCCGACATGGCGTGCGTGGACGGCATGCTGTACTCGGAGTTGTAGAACATCTCCACCTTGATCACGGGCGGCGAGGCGGGCCGGGACCAGCCCAGCAGGTCCTTGGTGCACTGGCCCAGGTACATGACCCAGACCCAGACCATGATCAGCCGGCGGCTCACGAAGGCGTCCACGTTCCACGTGACGAAGGGGAAGAAGGTGATGTAGAACAGCTCGTTGCCCAGCTCGGTTCCGAGCGTGAAGGCGTAGTACAGGAACCGGTTCTGGATGAGGAACTCCTGCCCGGCGTCGCCCGTCAGAGAGTTCTTCCGGAGGGGTTTCACCGTGCCGCTGCTCCCCGGGGCTTTTTCGTTGCCCGGCTCTTCTGATTCGGTGGCGCCGGTAAGGTCCGGCGGGCAGGAACTTCGTCCGTTCCTGCCCGCACTGACCGCTTCTCCCGCGGCGGTCTTCGCGGAGACCGGCGCTCCGTTCCGGGGCGGATTTCTACTTTCTTCCCCTCGGCTCGTCGCGACGCTCTGGCTGACACCCTTCGCCGCCGCCGTCTGGGCTTTCTCCCCTTCACCGGCTCCGATGGCGGCCGGGTATCCGCTGTCGTCCCCCCCGGCGACGCGGCGACGGCAAGCCCCGTTATTGTGCTCATGAGTCCGGTCTGCTTCCTTTCCCGCCGCCGCGGTGGAGGTGGTGGAGGTTAAGGTTCCCGAAAACGTCTCGCGTACTCCACAAAAGTGCTGAAACCGAGCCACAAGGTGGGGGTCTTGGAGATAGTGGTAGAGGTTTAACAACCGGTTGCTTTTCCCCATGTTTACTGCGGGTTGTTGACCACACCGCACGCGGACTCCGCTTCAACCGCACCCGGGTTCGCGGGTGCAGATGACCGTTAGCACTCCGGCTAACGCTAGCGAACCGTTAGCACTCCGGCTAACGCTAGCGAACCGTTAGCACTCCGGCTAACGCTAGCGAACCGTTAGCACTCCGGCTAACGCTAGCGAACCGTTAGCTCTACGGCTAACGCTAGCTACCCTTTAGCTCACCGGCTAACGCTAGCTAACTGTTAGCTATCCCGTGCATCGCGACAGAGTGAACCCCAAATAAAAAAATTTAAAAAATTTAAAAAAGGAGCAAAAGGATAAAATGGTTGTGTTTTCCCCGCAGTAAGAGGATAACAGACAAACCGAGGGGGGTCCGGTTGTTGATTGACAGCGTCCGGACGCGTTCAGTGACCCGCTATCCGAGTAGAATCCTGCAACTGACAGATCTGCGGAGCACTCGAGGGGAGCGCGTTCTGCGTGGTGCGTTCAGGTGCTGTTGGACATTTACCCAATACATCGAAGACGTTCGGAAAAACACGCCGAATGTGTAATGTTTTAGCCCTATATTTTAATTTGCTTCGGTGCAGTTCTTATTGCTTTATTTTAGAAGCGCTAATAAATAATGGATGGAACCAAGCTCTGAAGTTTGAAACGTCTCCTTACTTCAATAAGCACGTATCTTGTCAAAGATTAAGTAAATAAGCCTCAGACCTTCATGTTGTAACATTTGATTTGAGGAAAGTCCATCCATCCATTGTCCAAACCGCTTATCCTGCACACAGGGTCGCGGGGGGGCTGGAGTCCATCCCAGCCAACTTCGGGCGATAGACAGGGTACACCCTGGATTGGTCGCCAGCCAATCGCAGGGCCACACAGAGACATACAACCATTCACACTCACATTCACACATCTACGGGCAATTTAGAGTCACCAATCAACCTGATCCCCAGAGCATGTCTTTGGACTGTGGGAGGAAGCCGGAGAACCCGGAGAGAACCCACGCAGACACGGGGAGAACATGCAGACTCCACACAGAAAGGCCACTGGGCGGAATCGAATCCAGGACCTTCTTGCTGTGAGGCAACAGTGCTAACCACCGCGCCACCGTGCCGCCCTTGAAGAAAAGTGAATCTGTATAATAAATACCTAGACCCATAAACAAATATAACTATCAACGTTTTCAAGGCGATCAACGCAACAAAATACTGGAAACAGGTCAAATTGCGCGTATCCAGGTCAGGGCAACGCTATCCTCTTTTTATCCTAAACTTGTAAACGTGAAGATTCAAGAAAATAAACATGTAAAAACATGTTGAAAATGTCTGATTGTTTTGGAACAAAATAATACTATTGAGGACTTCTAGGATTTAAGAATTAAGATAGATATAGAAGGATGGATGGATAGAGAGTTGGATAAGATATTTATATTTAAATGCTTCTATTCTATTTTACTTCTATTGCAAAACAGAGACGCATGAAAACACAAAATCTTTGTCACCTCACATACTTTATTTAACAATCAATCATCTGAAAAACGTTTACTGGCCCTTTTTCAAAATAGTTTATCTTAAATATGGAATATGTATTTTCATCAAAATATAAATTCTTGTTTTTTTAAAATATCAAGCTTCTCTTCAATAGTTGCCAGCATGTTTCGTTGTAGTTGTTTTCCGTTGAAGTGATTGTTACCAAGATGCACATAACGCGAAGAGACTGGACTGAACATTTAAAACACAGAATGAGAGGCTGGAGGAGGACGAGGCGTTAATCCCAACTATCACACTCATACGACACACTTTGTGCAACATTAAAAAATGAAACTCTGTGGAAACATTTCAGCTGCCCTTATTTACTGACTGACAGTTAAAGAAAGTGGGAATTTAATATCGACTTAAAGATGTAGCTTTAACACAAAATCGTGCTGCAAAACATTTGGAAGCAGGAAATAAAATGTTCCTTTAAACAGTAAAGCAATATTCTCATCCTCTTTCCAAGAAAACACCACTTTAGCCCCCAACAATGTAGCATTTTAAGCACAATATAAGCATGTAATAAATTCTTTATAACACCACCAGGTAGTTTTAAGCAGAAAAAAGGTTTTCAGTATTTGTATTTGTTATTATCACTTCTCACTATCACTTATCCTATGAGGAACTATTTTACTATATGATATCTTTGTATTTCAGTTCATTTATGGTTGTTAACAATAACACACGCTTGTATCGTGATGTTTACGCGCTGCTGATAAAAGCAGAAATTGGGGAACTTCCTCATCAATCAGTTGAGGAATCTGAAAATATCAGCCGCTAAAAATGGCTTTGAGATGAAAAAGGTTCCTCGGCAGAGGGCAGCAGAGGGATGCGAAACACAGAGAAAGCCCCAGTGTTCCCACGGGCCGTGAACGCACCTCGGAGATGATGACTCACACAGCGGGGAGTCTTGCACGGTGCACAAATCAAACGGTAGCATAGAGAGACAAGAGAAGCGTATCAGCACCCAGGCGCATCAAAGGGAACTCAGCCTGCGGTCCGTAAATCCCTGAATACAGTAATACATGTTTGTTTGTTTTTAAATCAATAAAACAACACCGACAGCCGGCCGAGAGTCACTCACGTAAAAGAAAAAAGGCAGTGATGCCGCGATGGTTTGACAGAAACATCTGGGCGCTTCCCTCCACCGCTGGCTCTCAGTGACGATTTGAGTTTGTGCCAAAACAAACCAAACCAAACCAAACCAAACCAAACCAAACCAGCGCCTCCTGAGCTTATTCTTTTATAGTGGGAAAACGTCCACAGCTTTCCAGAGCCGGCGCTTTGCTCCTTCAGAAAAGAGGCAGCGGCGCAGCGCTACGTCAGCCGTTGTCGTCCGGGTGGTACAGGAGGACCCGGTGGGTCGGGGGGAGGCCGTACGGGCAACAGGGCACCAGCCGGCAGTGCTGCAGCTCCTCCAGGCCGAACGCCGGGGAGCAGCAGCCCATCACCAGCACCTTCACCCTCTTCCTGTCCGGGTAGAGAAGCCCCCTCTCTCCCACCTCCTCCTCCTCTTCTTCTTCTACCTCCTCCTCCTCCTCTCTGGCCTCCAGCTCCTCCTCCTCATGGTGGATCTTCCTCAGCAGGTTGTTGATGAGGACGGAGCGCCTCAGGTAGGCCTCGGGGTCCTCCAGGAACCTCAGCTTCTCCAGGGACAGCTTCAGGATGCAGCTCCGGTCCTCCTGCAGTATCAGGTGCTGCACACAAACAGGAGCATCTCTTTCAGCCGTTCACCACCAGCGCTTCAGAAGGAGCACGTGGTGGCGTGCAGCTCCTCCGTGCACATCAACGCATCAGCAGATACTCACACGAAGCAGACAAGACTCACATTTCACGTTAGACGTCAACGTCTGTGTCACATCTGACAACTAAGACAAAAAGTTAATGTCTCAGATTTTATTCTCAAGGCAGGTTCATTTTTCTGTTTAGTTTTTTTTTTGCTTCACTTTGTAGGAAGAGGGTCCAAGACAAGTTACCCCAATAAGCCATTTATCAGTTTGACCTCCATTTATTGCAGTTTATTTATAGAGATATTCACAGCTTAGATCTGCAGCTTATAGACGCAGATTAAAGTCTCAGACAATAAATAAAACCTTCATGTAATTGGTGACTTCCCCAATCTTACAAAAGAAAAGAGGTGTGAAGACGTTCAAATGAAAAATGGTGAAGACACCTGGAAGGCTTGAGAAGCGTCAGGGCTCCTCACGTGGAGCACGGAGGTTCACTTCAGTGCGTAAAGAGAGAAAGATCATACTTTTTGAAAATATCCATGTAGGCCTCCGTGTACATCCTCCTCCTCCGCATATTTCCTCTTGAAGTAAGCGACTTTCGACGTTGTTGGGTGGTGTGGTCTCCCTCTCAGGGACGGGCCCGCTGCAGGGAGCAGAAAACAATGTCACTGACCCCGAACCTCGTTGTAAAAGCTCCATGTCTAACGGAAGCACCGGATGAGGCTTTTTTCATATCGAAAAGTTGAGTTTCAAAAACATGGAGAAGACTGCACGAAAAACAAACTAAACCAGAGCGTCTCATTTACTTTCAGTTTAAAAGAAAACACTCAGTTATGGAGATTGTTGTTGTGGGTTCAAATATTCTTGAGTGAGGTCAAAAGCGTCTCGTTGCACTGTGCTCCAAGTGACCAAAGATGCACTTGTCTGCTTCCAGACAGTAAATAAAAGCCATGTGAGATCAGGAATCAGGAAACATTTATTGCCATAATACGTCAGACATACAAGGAACGTGACTTGGCGGTTGGTGCGCAACAGCAGACGGCGATGGACGACAGACAACACAGTGCAAGAGGAATAATGCTGTGGTAGTAGGGTCATGTGACATCCTGTGACATGATGAGAAGCCTTCATGGGGAGACAGGTGTGATCACGTGCTGCTGACGCTCCACCGCCGGCGCTCTGAGTCACTGAGTCTGAGCCGGTCGAAGCCTCCACATCGCCCTCAGAGTCCTGCTGAAGAGACGGAGGAGGAGGTACAGCAGGTAGACGAGGACCAGGGCGAGGAGAACGGAGGAGAAGAGGATGAAGAAAAGGAGGAGGAGGTACAGCAGGTAGACGAGGACCAGGGCGAGGAGAACGGAGGAGAAGAGGATGAAGAAAAGGAGGAGGAGGTACAGCAGGTAGACGAGGACCAGGGCGAGGAGAACGGAGGAGAAGAGGATGAAGAAAAGGAGGAGGAGGTACAGCAGGTAGACGAGGACCAGGGCGAGGAGAACGGAGGAGAAGAGGATGAAGAAAAGGAGGAGGAGGTACAGCAGGTAGACGAGGACCAGGGCGAGGAGAACGGAGGAGAAGAGGATGAAGAAAAGGAGGAGGAGGTACAGCAGGTAGACGAGGACCAGGGCGAGGAGAACGGAGGAGAAGAGGATGAAGAAAAGGAGGAGGTGGAGGAGGAGGATGGAAGGAAAGACGGAACCACAACATCAGACAATGAGCCCAGAATATCTCAACAGAAACATAGCGTGACATGTTAGTTACATGTTATCTTTGGCTTCACACCAGCAGGTGAGAAATAATAAAAAACATATCAAATGAAAAAAGATCTGTGAAATAAACAAAAAGGTTAAAATTCCTTAAGGGAATAACATAGTATTCATATGGAATTTAGATTGATATATTTTTCATATTTCCATAAACACAGAGCTCTACCTGATTTGCCCCTTAATGTTTGTCATATCTTTGCATAATATTTACAGAGCGTATATTCAGAAAATCTGCTGCCTTTGGAAGCTCGTTTAAATTCCAGAAGGAGGAGGAGGAGAGATAAGAGTGTGTGTGTGTGTGTGTGTGTGTGTAGTATTTTAAATGCCACAAATCAACCACAACCAGCAGTGAGAAGCTTTATCGGCTCTCCTGAAACTGCTGCTGTGACTCACACCGTTTCTTTAGCACGAGGCCCAAATATTGAATCTGTGGGAGAATGATGGAAACATGAGAGAGAGGCTGCGTGGGAAGTGTGTGTGTGTGTGTGTGTGTGTGTGTGTGTGTGTGTGTGTGTGTATGCAGCCCTTGTTACACATATTTTTTAACCCTTCCACTAAAAGCAGACTCTCCCTCCACACCACACGTATCCTCATTCAGATTAAGGGAACTGTTCATAAACTGCACTGTGACTTTTGCAAAACAACAACTTCTCCGCCTTGTTTTCAGCTTTGTGGTGATTGTTTATAAAATGCATTCTTTTATTAGGATTATAAGGATAATATGATCATCCCATAGGAACACGTAATCCTTCACTTTACCAGAACAAATCGGATTTGGAGTACAACGATTTTCATTTGAAAGCTATTTTTAAGTTAAATATTGTTTAAAAACATAAAATCCACGTATTATCACGGATATATTTACTCCAGGTGGATTTCATTAGATGCTCGTTTAGTTGTTTTCTACTGTTCTAAAATCTGCTGCACAAACAAACTCCTCACGTCCCAAAGTGCAGAAACGTCCTGAAAGCTTCTCACCTTCAAACGATCGCGTCCGGCTGCAGCGGATCACCGACCACCGTCCACCGGGGAGCGTCCCGCTCCGCTTCGGTCCTCCGGGGCTTCGGTCCTCCGGGGCTTCGGTCCGCGCACATCCACAGCGACCAGCGACCCGCGGCTCGGCCCGAAGTCCGGGGCCGGAGCAGGAGGAGAGACAGGAGGACGGCAGGAGGAGAGACAGGAGGACGGCAGGAGGAGATACAGGAGGACGGGCAGGAGGAGAGACAGGAGGACGGGCAGGAGGAGAGACAGGAGGACGGGCAGGAGGACAGACAGGCGGCTCCAGCTCCTCCGGTGAGACGCTCGCTGCTCTCCAGCCTCCTAAAACATCCCCGCGCACGGCGACACGAGACGACGCGCTCCCGCTGCCCGGCGCGCGCAGGCAGATGTTTCCTGTCGCTAGGAGACCAGAGTGCGCGTCACTCCTCAATGCCGAGGCGCGCGCGCGTGTGTGCGTGAGAACTGTCCGTCTCCACGTGTGAAACATCATCTGTTGTGTATTTGTACACAAGGTGTGTACACAGTTTTTTGCTACTTGGTTGATTGATGAGGTTGAAGACCGATAATCTCAATGTCTCAAATCTTGTTTTCTAATTATATTTACATTCATTCAGCTCTCTTTCTGTCTCTTTCACCGTGTTCAGTTTTCACAATGTTGTCAATGACTAATAAATAAACATGCAGACAATAAACCAATCGCTCTGTTTCGCTGTCTTGCTTTTATCACCGTGTTCAGTTTTCACAATGTTGTCAATGACTAATAAATAATGGATTAACAATTTATTTGTCACTTTTTTTTATCAGAAAATGTCTATGAAATCTATGAAATGTCTTTTGTAATTTTTCCAATAATATATTGAGAATTGAATGTCTGACATCATTACTATTACTTTTGAGAAATAACAAAGCTTGAAGAGGCTACTCAGCTAATAAAGAGCAACACAACAAAAACAAGCATCTGCTGTCAAAGATTAACCCCCCCCTCCCCCCCCCCCCCCCTCCCCCACACACACACACACGCACGCACTCACACACACGCACACGCACACACACACACGCACAAACACTCTGTAATCCACTCTGTGAGATTTCCAAAGTGAAACTGGAAACCAATCACAGCGCGATGAACTGGGTTTCTGTTGTTTTTATTAGCTACCGTTTAGAAAAGGCCTCATTCTCAGAATTAAGACATGTGAGCGGGACGGAGACCCAAGAAGACAGATGGAGGACAGACGTCCCCTCAGTGGGGAGCTCCTGGGCTTTATTGGCAACGACAGAACTTGGTACAAAATGTGCTTTCTGGGGGCTGCGGCGGCTCAGCATGCTTGACCCGGACCAGACCGGACCAGTAGATTAGACAAGACTAGACCAGACCGGACCAGTAGATTAGACAAGACTAGACCGGACCGGACCAGACGAGTAGACTAGACATGACTAGACCGGACCGGACCAGAAAGGACCAGACAAGTAGACTAGACATGACTAGACGGGACCAGACCAGACCAGACTAGTCTATGGTAGTCTGACTGGACCGAACCAGATAGGGATCGACCAGACCAGAATAGACTAGGTTATAATAGACTGGACTGGAGAAGACCAGATCAGACCAGGCCCGACTAGAGTCCAGACTACACCAGAATCTCTGCAGGATGTCTCAGACTCGCTCAGTGTTGTCCTCCGTAGAACAGTTACAGGTTCCACAGGCGTGGACTTGAACCCAGACTGAATCTGGTCTGACTTGGACCTAGCTCCTGGTCCAGGCCTCGACCTCAGGGCCTGCAGCCACCTTCCATGCATGCAGCATTCACAGGGAACAACGAGAAGGGTTCATGCTAATTTGGATCATCTGTTGTTGTTATTGTTGTTTTTCTCAAAAATGTTACAGGCACTTCTTCATCAGAGTATCACAACGGCATCACATCTGTAAATACAACCATGGGTCTTAAACTGAGCATGCACACGTGTAAATACAAATAGAATAATAAGGACATCAAATGTCTACAATTTATAAAACATATAATGATATTATAGACTCTGTACAACAACTTGACATGCATAAAATGTTTCATTGTGCAGAAAGGTCTTGGAGTTAACTTTTCACGCTCACATGGAGGAAGCCTGCAGAATGCGAGTGCTCATATAAAAACGTAGCAGGAATGTCCTCTCTGATTTTTCTATTTCACAAAACCAATAATAAAACGAGCATGAGGTGATTATTTAATTTCCCGAACACAGCAAAACTGGAGTTTGTTCATTTAAAACCTTTTGAGCTGTGTGTTGAATTAACACACGCTCCATTTTTCAGTATTAATTAGTACAGCTGAACGCTGTACAAACAGGAAAAAAAAGGTTTTTAGCTTCTAACAAAGAATTATTGTCAGATTATTGTCCAACAGTAGCTAAAGCCGGAGGTCCGATGGCTGCAACTCACATGCTAATGTTTAACAAGTACACAAACAAGCTAACGAAACAAGAGCTAACTGTAGCTAGCCTCTGCTTTTTGGATTAGCTTGAATCCCGTTTTCACGCACCCAAATAATCTAAATGAAATGAAATCACTCGGCCTTTGGGGCACATTCCATTCATGTTTTTTTAGTTTAAACACAAGCCAGTCAGCATTTTACAGCTTGTTCCCTGCAATAAACACATGTAGGATGCATCCGTGGACATGTGCTTTTCCACAGCTCATTCCCCTCAGTTTCTTTAAACAAATACACAAATAAATCATTGAGAGGTTGTTCTGATGTCGAGGGTCATTCATGTTAATCTGCGAGTTTTGGCTTAAACATCTGCTTCGACACGTCATTAAGTTATGAAGAGTTATGAAGGATGAAGATTATTGATGAATGGAAACTAGTTCTGTGTCTTTATGGTTTGAAGGAGATGTTAATGAAGGTGGTGCAAAACTAACTATTTTCAATCATTTCAGAGGTCATTAAACATTTAAACCTTCATATACTTTGTTTTTATGGGTTTTTCTTCTTTCATTTTGTACATAAATTAACAAATGAATGTTTATGTTTACCTTCGTCAGTCTTCATTGTCCTCACACACTTTTTGACCGTGCGCCCCGTGGGGGTCTGTTTAATGACGATGTCGACCACATACAAGCGGATTTCTTGGGATTTTAAGCTCAAACCTCTGAGAGCGTAAAAACACACACTTCCAGGTAATTAATCGCACGTTGTTACTGGAGAGAGATATTCAGAGCCGCCGGAGCAGCAAACACAAGAATGTGAATGAGTGTTTCTTAAGTTTCCATCATCAGATCAGACGTTTATGGTCTGCAACACCTTTATTTGCCAGATATTTCTACTAAAATGTCAAATGTGTTTTTAACTTTTACAACTCAAGGTCCACTTCCTGTACGAACCGTATTCACAAGATAATAACCACCAACCACAAGTCAAATCAATGCATTTTTTGTCAATTCGTTTGTGCTTGTGAGATGAATTGACTTAATTTGAAAAATGCTCATTGGGATCAATCAATAGAGTGTTAATAGTGGGGATAATAAAGTAATAAATAAATGTCTGCTACGTGTAAACACAACGTTTTGTTTTCTCAGTGACTCACTGATTATTATGTTGGATGTTTAGTTTGTTTTCTAAAGAAGACGTGACCATATAATATTTTCAGGATGTCTCCATTGGTTCAGAACGCCATTGATTGGCCCGCCGGTAGAAAAGAAGCATCTTCTGCAAAGACCAGTTCCTGCATGAAGCCTTCAAATCCACTTTTATCAAAATGTGGTTCGCATGAATTCGTTCCTCCCGCATCCGACCTCCGGCCTAAAAGAAGAAACACTCTCAGGCCTCCAGCAGGACGTGCCAGCGGCAGACCTGCTGTCCTCGGCTGTCCTTCATGTCCTGCCAGTGGAGCTGCTCCTCCTCGCCGCTGCTGTTCTGGCCCATGGCGATCCAGCCCACCGTCTCCTTGCGCTTCAGGCTGCGCCGGTTGTAGACGGAGACCAGCAGCGTGACGTCCGACAGCTGGAACAGCGCCACCTGGAAGACGAAGGTCTCCTTGTAGACGGGGTTGGGCTGGCCGCGGCGCACCGACGTCTTACAGCGCGAGATCTCCTGACCCACCGAGTTCAGCAGGGTCAGGCGCCCGTAGGTGTCTAGAGGGGGGGTGAAAAAACATCCAATGTAAACTTTGATGTGGACGTCTACGTCACGAGACGTGTCTCCGTGAATGGTTTGACACACAGACTTGTGACAGACATGTTGTCACGAGTCATAAGGCGGGCGGACCTGGCGGCCTGTTGACGGCCAGGTTCCTGAAGTGGCTCCCCTTGATGAGCTCCACAGACATGCGCCCCGTGGTGGCGTTGTAGGTGAGGCCCACCAGCAGCTCGGGGACGCCGCCGTGGGTCAGAGACTGAGTGGACGAGGCGCTGTCGCTCTGAGACACGGCGGAGAGGCTCAGCTGGGAGTCCAAGCTCTGGGGACATGAAGGGACACAAAGGCCGTGAGCGGCGAGGAGGGGGGGGGGAGGGGCCTGCGGCGCAGAGAAGGGACGCGCCTCACCTTGAGGTTGCTGCGAGGCTCCAGCACCAGCGTGGTCTCCATCGTCCCCCCCTCCGGGTCCAGCCCGCCCAGGCGCAGCACCTTCTCGCCCATCATCCTCTCGCGGGACATGCGGGACGCCCCGAGCGCGTAGAGCCTGAACCGGACGGCCGACGCCTGCAGCTCGGCCGGCTCCAGGCGCGAGAAGCGGAAGGTCTCGTTGAAGTGCGGCAGCGAGCCCTTCTGCACCAGCGTGCGGTGCCGCTGCTTTTTGGCGGGCAGCAGCACCATGTGCACCTGCCAGGAGTCCATGCCGCTGCGGGCTTTGTCGGGGACGTCCCGCGCCGCGATCACCGAGACCAGCAGCTTCTCCGCGTCGGGCCGGTACTCCAGGGACAGGACCAGGTCCCCGCAGGTGGAGATGGGGAGGCGGGGGGAAGAGCTCGCTGGCTGAGGCTGGTCTGGCTGGGGGAGGGCGAGGGGGAGGAGGGGGGAGGATGGAAGACATCAAGCTTATTTATAATGTTTTCATACTGGGCCTGTTGAGCTTCACAGGTGATGCTACTGCACATTTTAGCTAAGCTGATCCGCCACACAAACCCGACGCTCAACTGGAAATCATGACCCCCGAGTCGACTTTAGATCCGTCTCTCCAGCAGAAAACAAACAACCACCTCCTCTAGAATATGAACGTGAGCACAGAGTGTGCTGGAGGGGCGTTTGAAGGGGAAGGGTTCTGAATGGGAGAGAGAACGAGATGATTTATTCTGAAGGAGGCTCAGAGGTCGATCTCAGGTTTATTTATAATTCAACACACAATCATCGGAGATGCGGTTGGAGAAGACGTCGTACTCGGGCGCTGATTCCCCCGAGCACGGCGGTGATCTCATCATCTGAACCACGGATCCAGTCTCTGCTTCTCCACCAAGCAACTCCAAGTGAACCCAAAGACATTTCTGTTGTTCAGCGGATTTAAAATAGGGCTGTAAATCATTTGACCTTTGCGCTACTTTCTTTTTTTTTATAAGAAAAATGTTTGTTGAAAATGTCCGAAGTCTCCCTGCTGTTTTTATTACTTTTATTATCTGCCTTTTCATTGCATCTGTTATTCTGTTTAATAAAATCATATATTTGGGGGATTTGGTTCTGTTGTGTTTTTAATTCCGTTACGACGCGTCTCTCTGCAGCTCCTCTGATCCAAAACCCGTCCTCTATTTCTGAAGCATTTCTAGATGTCAGTGTGTGTGTGTGTGTGTGTGTGTGTGTGTGTGTGTGTGTGGGAGGTGTTTGCTGCACAAATTGCTCCCAATTCCAAAGTGTGAGCGCTGAATGTTTGATTCCACATCTCAGCTCTCCCGCTTGATGTACACACCTATTAATACACACACACACACACATACACACACACACACACACACACACACACACAGTCATTATTCATGAGCTTCTGTTTGTCAGCCAACGTGGCGCCCAGGGTGAAAGGAAATATCGACTATTTATACAAAACCTGGAGACGGCGTTTGGTTTGTTTCTTCGAGGATGAACCTGAGAGGAGAACGTGGCAAAGTGACGATGAGGACGATGACGAGGACGGCGATGATGATGGCGCTGCCAAGCATCATGGGTAACAGCAGGGCTGCGGTGGGCTCACGGACCCCGTATGGTAATCCCTGGCATGTCTTTTTATTTATTTTTGGAGGGAAATTGTTAAACCTTGTTGGGATTTTCATAAGATTTGTAGAATAGAAATAAAATCTGGAGGAAGGTCTTCTCAAAGGCCCTGAAGTGTCCTTCAGCGATGGGCTGCACCGTGAGGACCCTCCTCACGTTGCAGCCCATCGCTGATAATGGGAATATTTTCACCCCTCGATTACGCTTCACAGTCGACCGAGGAGATCGGCTTTGATTCAGATACTTGAGAGATCGGCTTTGATTCAGATACTTGAGGTGGCGCGGACGGTACGGCCGACAGAGGGGGGGGGGGGGCAAAACGAATCCATGTAAAACCGTATCCGGCGAGTTTGACATATGTGATTTGCGGCAAAACCCAAAGAAAAAGGAAACAATGCACCTGGAATGAATGAAAAGTAAAGACGGACACTGAAATGTGAAGTTTGAATGCAGACTTCGTCTCCTCTTAATGGTCGCCGGTGTAAGAAAGCCGTCATGGCGACGGCCGAACCGCCGCAGCGAGTCGGTCGGCGTGTCTGCAGTACCTCGGGGCTCCAGACGGGGGAGCATTCCACGGCGGCACTTCCGCCGCCATTCTCCATCTCCTCGCTGCCGTCCGCGGCCTGCCGGTTGGCGCCCTGGGCGGGCCCGTCACTGGCGCCCGCCGCCTCGAGAGCATCCGGCGCCGCCCACTCGCTCTCCTCTAAGGCGGCGGTGAGCGGGTCCTTGAAGCCGCCCTGGTGGCCCTGAGCCGCCATCTCTGCAGGGGGACGACAACGCGGGAGGAAGGTCAGACTTTAAATCTGAGACCTCATCGGTTCAGTGTGTACGGCGGCATCGTTGTTCGGCTGTAACCGTCGCCGGTGGCTACAGATCCAAATGGTCGTTTCTTTTTAAACGTTTAAGTTTCTTCTGACTGATCTCAGCGAAGGTCTTTGAACACATTCAATTCTGAACTGAAGCTGCAAATATGAAGACAGGATTGACTCGTGTGAGAACATTGAGCCTCTATTTCCAACATCGGAAACCCTTGTGGAAGATTTGTGAATGTAGATTCCTGTTTAATATTTAAACAGGAAAGACTTTTGGCTGATGGCCGTGATTGATCTGTTTCAAGTAATCCAATCAATGAACGCAAATCAAACAAACTGTTACTATGTGGTTACATTATGCCTCCCGGAGGCGGCAGGGCGCAGTCCGTTAACCCTCGGCCCGTCTCTTAGGCAGACACACTGGGGGAACAGGCCGTGCCTCCGACCAATCAATGGCACTTATCTCCCCTCCGCCGTCGTTAAGGTCGGCCTGACTGTCACACCGCCGGCTGCGCGCGGCGTCGACCACGGCAACGGGCCGAGGCGAGCCATCGGCGTGTGTTGTGTTGCGACGCAGGGACTCCGAGCAAACATTGTCAACACAAATCCAGGTTTAACTTTTTGTTTTTTTGCTCGCCGGGGCAATAGCTAACAGGATGCTAGAGTTGGTTAGCAAGTTAGCTGCTAGCTACGAGCTACAAGGACAATCTACCGAAAACCAACACATCTTCATGTCCAACCGTCCATCTACAAATGATTGTTCTTGGATTATATATATATATATATATATATATATATATATATATATATTCGTCTGCGTCGTGGTTAACCTTCGCAGTCCGACGGCTCCGTGCTTCCTTCCTCCTGGTCCGACAGACGGCTGAACTTGTGCCGGCGGCCGAGCGCCGTCTGCGCCTGTAGCTCGATGAGGTTCGCCGCCGTCGAGGTGCGGAAGCTCTGCGACCGCGACACGGAGATCTCAAACTGCTTTAGGACCTCCTCCTCGCTGCCGGAGGACGAGACGCCACCGCCGTCTTCGTCTTCGTCACCGTAGCTGCTCACTGAGGGGAGATGAGCAGAGGGAGACACGGGGGGGTGAGGAGGAGGAGGAGGAGGAGGAGAGGCTGCTGAGAGGAGGAAATGAGGGCGAAGGAGAGGAGGAAACAGGAAAGGAAGAATGAGAGGAGTGGAGGAAACGAGGAGGAGAGAAGAGGAGGAAACCGGAGGTTGTTTCAGATTTGTCTTTTGGTCACTTCCTGTTTACTGGTTGCAAATCTTGAAACCAAGATGGCGACGGCCGAAATCCAAGATGGCGGGGAGGTTTCAAAACATTCACAAACCAACAGGTGACGTCACCATGACGACGTCATCACAAGCTGTCTGTTACCTACGGACCAGAATGATCCCAACGAGGGTTTGGTGCCGCCTGTCTCGCCTGCATCTGAGTAGTCGCCGTGGTTACCCGGCTGAGGCCCGGAAACGCCGCTGGGCAGATCGCTCCGTTAACTTTGCGTCCTCTGAGGCGATTCACAGGCGGAGCAACATGGCTCACAAATACACACACGCACGCACACGGACAAAGACACACACACACACACACTCAAATATGCTTGGATACAAAGAAGTATGAACAATTCGGTCCCATTGACTAAAAAGGTTGTACCTTAGTAGTATAAATATACACATCTATCACAGTAAATAGTGACGTAACGTGTCCCCGCAATCATTGCGTTCTCGAGTCGAGTGGTGAAGAAGTTTTCAGATGCTCTACTCTGCAGTAAAAGTATTTGTACGTGGCAGTTTTCTGTTCTACCTTGTATAAAAGTACATCAACACCGCGCAGTGAAGGTACTACTAGTAAAAGCCATAAGTTGAGTAAGTGAACAGCCACCGACCTGCTACTTTTCCCCTCTGAGTTGCAACAGGATGTGCTCTTTGTCCACGAGACCGACTGGAAGTGGCAGAAACTCCGCCTACTGCAGGTGAGCCTTCACCTGCTGTGGATGAGACTCCGCCCACTTCAGGTTAGACGCCGCCTACCGCTGGGCGAGACTCCGCCCACCGCAGGTGAGACTCCTACACGCTGTCTACATCATGTCTTCTCAACATGTGACAACGTGGACTCCGTGGTAACGCAGCTCTGACGGCGCGGCTGCGAGGGGGGGGGGCGGGGCTTAGCCAAAGGATCATTAAAGTGGTAAAAAAAAAAGGCCTATTTTGACACGTCATATTTGTCAAGATTGGGTGTGACAACAGGAGCTGGCTGTGTGGGATGGAAGGTGTCAGATGAACAGTGACTACGCGCAGGGAGTCAAGTTAAATGCAACATGCTAAACTGTTTCACAACCTTTGCTCAGGCTGCTCACGGTGTTTGTCAAGTGGGAGGAAAGAAAAGAGAGTCAGAGGGAGGCGCGAAGGAAATGGAGGAACTGAGTGGCCTTTTCGCCCTTTGTCTCCTTTTATTCTCCCGTGAATTCTTCTGCAAGGTCCTTGTAACGTTAATATTTTCATGGTGAGCCTGGTGGCTGCTGACTCACTCGACTCGTTCCCTCGTAAACACACACTCGCCTCCACAAACACAAACTCTTTCTGTGACTGAGGAGTTTAAAAGGTGTCATGAAGCACGAAGGAGGACGTTCCAGGTGACCTTAAAGGTGGAACCTTGACGGCAAACGTTATAGGAATAAATCTTAGTGTGTTCATGAGCGAGACAAAGGGGGAGAAGATGGAGGCGCACACATCTCAAAGGAACATTTATACCGCAGAATCTTATTATTATGTCTTTTTTCGTCACTTCATCTACTGGAGACACTGCACAGACGTCACAGAGCAGAGAGTTCCGTCCTTCATAATGATCCACACACGCTCCTAAAAGCTGTTTCTGTTTGACTAAAAGTCAAAAATGTGTCTTCAGGCGGTGTGAAGAGAAACTAGATGTTTTAGCGAGAAGAAGGAGCTGATGTAACGAACTAGAATGAAACACATGAGCAACGCGATGACGGCATTTTTAACTCATAACACACGACTCGCACTCTCCAGCGGAGGAAGAAACCTTAGTGGTTGTTGGCACGCGCGTTCGAACCCTCACCCAGCCCCTGGCGGAGGCCCTGGCGCGTCTTCTTCCGGTGGGCGTGGCGGTGCTCCAGGCAGGGCAGCCCCCCCACGCGCGAGAAACACAGCTTCTTGTTGATGAAGAGGAAGAGGACGGCCAGCGCCACGATGAAGACGCCCACCGCCGACAGGAAGCCGATGGCCTCCGGGGGGACTGGCAGGAGGAGGGAGAGGGGACACACAATGACACACTGATCAGACCACACAAACAGGCAGTCTGCACACGCACACGCACACACGCACACACACACACAGTACGCATGGTACATGTGATGCACACAGACACAACAGGTGACACTTTAGTATTCGGGCAAGCCTCGGTGCCTTGCTCAAGAGCACACAGGTGCTAACATTTTACCTAAACATTTTTTTTACAATAATATAATAATTTACAAGCTCTGATCAGCAGGGTGCGTCCTGGACGGAGGCCGTCGCCAGGTTGTTCTTTAGAAACCGGTGAAGTGGACGTGGAAGGCGGATGAGCACTCGAGTTGCTGGAATATAAACTTAGATAAATAAAGAGCATATAGAGACGTCACGAGATATTTATCTGTTTTATTCATAAGACCAAGGAGCACAGTAAGCTAGTCAGCTGACCGCGCTGAGCTCGGTGTTGCTACGGCGTTTTTTTTTTTTTATGCGAGCGGTTTGGTTTCCTTCAAGGCAAAATGTCTGCGCAAAACAACGTGGTTTTATTGGGACGCAAAACAAAGAAAAAACAGAGGAGGGAGAGACAAACTGAAGAGAAGAGCGGGAGCGACGAGGCGGCTGAGACGCAACAGCGATGAATAGAAACCGATGATCCCGAGGAGGAGGCTGGGGGGGGGGGGGCAACAGACTCCCGTTTCCACGGTAACGTATCAGAGAATCAATGGGAGCAAGCGGAGAGGAGTGCACAGTCCTGCTGCGAGCCAAGAGAAGAACTCAACGCCGCAGGCGTGCGTGCGTGTGCGTGGTGGTGTGAAGATGTGTGTGTGTGTGAGGGTGTAGTACTATTACATGTTCTATTTATTTCTCTCTCTCTCTTCACGTGCACCTCGTCAAAAACATCCACTCACAACGGTGTGCAATGAGTAGAAACAGCTGGTTTAATCCGTTCACGAACAGGCACCAGCAATCGAATTGGTGGTGAAAGAAGTACTCAGTTGTGTCCATATCGACAGCGTGTGCATCTCTTAGCGTGATGAAATGTGATAAAATAAGTATCTAAATTTAATTAAACAGAGATCTTTTGAACTTGAAACTTCTCGATCAATCGGCATAATCGTACAGATGTTAGTCGACTCAACATGCACGTTTTTTCTAGTATTTTTGGGCTTGGAAAAGTGTACATTTAAATGAACTCGGAGTGACAGTAGATGTCTGGGCGGTGTGTTTGGGGGCCGTCGTAAAGCGGAGCTTCCCCTCTCAGCTGCTCCGCCGGTCACAGACACACTGAGCTCAGTGTTGCAGACCCAGAAAGTCTCCTACTGTCCACATCCAGATGGACAGGAAGGAACCCCGGGTCAAAGTCTGGCCTCACACCTGCTGCGCACACACTCACACACACACACACACACACACACACACACATACACACACACACACACACACACACACACACACACACACACACACATACACACACACACTCACACACACACACACACACACACACACACACACACACACACACACACACACACATACACACACACACCCCTCTAACACGCGGCACAGACATTCCACACAAACAACATCTTCAAATAGCTTGTTTTGTCCACATTATGTCAAAATATGTTTTCATCGCATTGTAACTATATTAGATTTCTATTAGATTATCATCCTCATACAAAGAAAAAATGTAATTTAAATTTAAATTTATATATTTATAATTATTGTTAAAATCGTATTAATAATAATACGATTTCGACATTTAATTAATGCCAACAGCTGCATTCTGTGTAGTGACCAGCAGGGGGCGACTCCTCTGCTCCCATAGACGTCTATGAGGAAATGACTCTACTTCTCTGCAGTGACCAGCAGGGGGCGACTCCTCTGCTCCCATAGACGTCTATGAGGAAATGACTCTACTTCTCTGTAGTGACCAGCAGGGGGCGACTCCTCTGCTCCCATAGACGTCTATGAGGAAATGACTCTACTTCTCTGTAGTGACCAGCAGGGGGCGACTCCTCTGCTCCCATAGACGTCTATGAGGAAATGACTCTACTTCTCTGCAGTGACCAGCAGGGGGCGACTCCTCTGCTCCCATAGACGTCTATGAGGAAATGACTCTTCTTCTCTCTTGATTTATTCCCTCAGTAAACATTGTAAACATGAGTTTATGTCTCAGTCTCTAGTTTCAAGTCTTCTTCAACACAACATGATGTTCATTTAGTGAATTATGGTCCATTCAGAGTCAAACAGACCATGAAGCAGGGGACGCTTTAGGGCGGGGCTACACGCTGATTGATCCAATTGTCCACCCCAGTCCATATAGATGGCGAACTGGAGGCCACAAACCCCAACGACTCTTCTGCTTCTTGTAAACAGTTTGTCCCTTCTGGGCTTCAGTAAAACAAGGACAAGCTCAGACGAGTGTTGACAAAGTGTCTGACGCGTCACGGTCGGATTATAGACAACAAACGTAGAAACGAGGGTTGAGGAGGCGGGTTGACACCGAGGTCCACGAGGGGCCCTCAGATCGAGCTAATGACGCCGCTCAGAGAGCCGGAGGGGAGCCTCTCAGACCCGCTAATACCGGTTGTTTGTGTGTATGAATGCAAAACAAGAAAAACAACGCCAGCATG